CACATTTAATTTTCTGCAGTCTGGTTTCCAAGCTGAGTGTTAGCCTTAATTCTTTCGCCTTCTATGTAACCTAATCCAACTCATACCTGAACAACCTTCCCTGAAACATCTGCAGTAAATAAGTGGTCACCTAACCTCTGCCTGAAGATCTCCAGAAACAATCCACTAACTACTAAGGCTGTTCATTCTATCTTTAGAGAGCTCTGCTTGATCGGAATTTCCCTCTCACCTTCACATTCAATCAGCTGCCAAATACTGCCAATTCTTATTTTATAACCTCCCTCTTATATGCCCTCTACTCTCCTCTGATATTCACCACCACCTTGGAGCAAGCTCTCATCATCTCATGCCTGAACTATTGCCACAACCTTCTGGTTGAGTTCCTTGCCTCAAATCCCTACACCCTCTGGTCAGCTGTCAAATTGATCTTCAACACAGGTCTAACAGTATCACCCAACTCAGTAAACTAGTGACTGTTACTTTCAATATCAGACATAAAGTCCTCTTTTTGGCTTTTAAAGACTGATACAGCCTGACTTTAGATGGAAAATGGCTTTAAATGGCAAAGTAAGGACTTTATATCTGTTCCTAGAGATGGCAGAGAGCCCCTAGACTGTAGTAGGAAAAGACTTGAGGCAGATAGACCAATTAGAATACTTGCAGTAGTCCAGGCAAGAGCTTATAAGTGTCTGACAACACTGAGGTTGTAAACCTGGGTGACAGGCAGCCTTCAGCAGTAAGAGGGGAGTTCAGAACAGGGAAGGGATTAGAAGAGAAGACAGTGAGTTCTCTTTTGGGAATGCTGACAATAGCCGTTAGGCAGCTGGTGATGAGATACTGGAGTGCCAGAGTCCACTAAGGCTAGACATAAATATTTGCATGGGATAATAATTTATTATCTTGTGGGACCTGATGAGATCACCAAGTGAGATAGTTAAGAGAGAGAAGAGAAGTGGGCCCAGGACAGAATTTTGGGTTGTGGGAGTACTTGGCAGTTTGGTCCAGGTGGCGTGAATAAAGATCCAGTGGAGCAGGCATATAGGTAGGAAAAACACCAAGAGAGAGCAGTGTCATAAAAATCCAGAGACAAGGTCATCTAGGAGAAGAATGAAATATATATAAAACTAAATCTAAAACTTGAGGTTTAGATTCTTTTTTCCCTGCTGACCCACAATAGTAACAGTTCCTGTCCTACTGTAGAGAGGTCAGAAAGGATGAAGACTGAGAAAAAGCCATTAGATTGAGCAATTAAGAGCACTGGTAACCTTAAAGGAGCAATTTTAGATGAATGAAGAGATCAAATGCCAGACTGCAGAGACTTTAGAAGATGACAAAAGGGGAGTAAGTGTAGATGGCTTCAGTTTTCAAAGAGTTTGCCTGAAAGGGGGAGGAGAGATATGAGACATTATGTAGTGATTAAGATTGGATTTAGTGAGGAATTTTAATGATGGGGAAGATACAGGCATGTTTTTAGGCAACAGGAGAGAAGCTGATAGATAGAAAGAAGTTGCTCATTGGAGAGAAAGTACGGATGGCAGTGAAGGAAATCTGCTGGACAAGATAGTGAGGTATGGGATCAAGGTTGCATGTAGAGGATTGACTTTAGGAAGGAGAAGAGTAACTTCTTCATCAGAAACTAGAGAGAATCTCCTGCTGATAGTGGGCAAAGATGTCAGAGATTTGTGAGATGAGAAGGGGAAAAGAAGCATCTCTCTGCATTTTTTTTTTAGTGAGGTAAGAGGCAAAGTCCTCAACTGAAAGGGCAGGGAAACTGGGTTCCATGGAAGACTTAAGGAGAGACAAGAAAATTTCAAAAAGGGCAATGTAGTGAGTTTAGGGAAGAGTAGGATTTCCTTACTTTTTTTCATTAAGCCCTTTTCCTATTGCTGAATTTGCACTACCAAACATCAGCCATAGAATATTCCCATGATCCATTGCCTTTGCTCCTGCTGACATACTGCTGAGTAAAGCTGGTAAAAATCACAAAACCAGGCTAACTGGACCCACTATAAATTTATGTTACCTGATGTTAACTGGGTCTTCATCATAACAATGCCATCCTTTTGTATCTCGCTATTTAGTTCACAATCTCACTTACCACAATGATTTTTCTAGACCTATTCATCCCTCCTCACATTTAATTTTCTGCAGTCTGGTTTCCAAGCTGAGTGTTAGCCTTGCACTGATGTGAACTATAGCTATAGCAATATAATGGAGCCACATAAAGAAAATCTGTGGAGATGAATTCATAACTGGGTCCTCATTGGCCCAAAGTTTTGAGTACTCTTTCATAAAATCTTGTTTAGTTTGAAAAGAAGGAATTATGAAAAACTATGTGTGGCATGTATTACCTATATCAAATTGCTTACCGTCTCAGGGAAGGGGGAGAGAATAGTGGGAGGGAAAGAATTTGGAACTCAAAAAAAAAAATTTAAAATGTTAAAAATTGTTTTTACATGTAATTGGGAAAAAATAAAATATTATTCTAAATTTAAAAAACAATAACTGTGTGTTACTGCTTTTTTCCCCCTAGTAACAATGCGTCAGTTTGACCACCCACATATTGTGAAGTTGATTGGAGTTATAACAGAAAACCCTGTCTGGATAATCATGGAGCTCTGCACACTAGGGGAGGTACTATAAATTTTCTAATGTTACCTCCAACTCATTTTGAGTATTCTATAAACAATCTCAGTAGTAACTTATTTCAGTAAGTAAATGAATTGTATGTGAGTGAAACAGTCCAAATTGATGCTTTATTTATGGTATAATATATTCTCATTGGATACTTAATCTGGCCTCTATATGCTATTGTAATGACAGTAAATAGAATTCCATTTAGCTAACAGTTAAGTCTTCTCTACTAGATTTTTTATCAGAGCTATTTGCATATAACTAAATATAAAACTTAAGGTTTAGGTTCTTTTTTCCCTCCTGACCCACACTGTATTGCTGCTGAGTAGACCATGACCTAAAGTCTGGAGGGAAAAACTTGAGAAAATAAAGCCACATAACTGAGAATGGAGAAATTGTGTAGAATTTATCTTTAAATTAAATAAATTCTCATCACCTTTGGGGAGACTTTTACTATATAAGGACAAGGTACCAGTTGTTATACTACTATTCCCTTTGAAAATTTGAGCAAACAAATAGGAATAAAGTGTTTTGAAAACCTTTTGAAGTCTATATAAATGCCAAGTATTTATATTAGGCTTTTTAAGTATGGTAAAATGTTTTATCCTGCTTCTTTGATAGGATTATTTTTGGTGATAATTTTCCAGCTAACCAACCTGTTTGAAAGATCAGAATTTCAGTGATTTTATCCATTTTTGATGGAAGTCTTACTAAAGTTTATTACATTGCTCTATTTTTTTTTTATAAACAAGATGCTAAAAAAGAATGTAATCTTTCCTCAATAATAGGGTCATCATTATGACAATCACTTGCCATAGTTGGTTTTTTGGTACTCTCCTGTTTTGCTGTCTAACCATCAGTTGTCACTGCCGTCACCAGAGTGTCTACCCATTGAAGCTCTTCTCCCTTTCTAATTTGCTTCTAATATAGTGTCTTCTGAGATAATAAAATGGGTGATTGGAATTTTATTTAAATTACAATTCAGTAAACTCCAAATTATGAGCCAAAGGATTTTCTTGAGGAATGATGAGATTAGTTTGACTTCCTTAGAGTTATTTTTGTATCATTAAAGCTTTTCTTCGTTTCCCTTAGGTTATACCCAAGTGCAGTCAGGCCTCCTCATAAGTGGGTTCCTACGATATAGCAGGAAAGAAAATGTTTTATTTGTGCATCACTGCTTTACAAAGAAATAGTTCTTCTGGCTTGTAAACACATCATCTCATATTAGTTTGCTCATAATTTATATAGAATTGTGTTGTAGATCTAATCTATGTTCTATATGACAGGAAAACAGATGAATTTGACAATCTCAATGACAATACTCTTCCGCCTGAATCTTAATCTGATGTTTCATTGTAATATAGAACTGACCATAGGTTTTCATTCCCCTAAGCATAAACTCTGGCAGATCCTGCCAACTTGTAAAGGGTTTAAGGATAGACTCAGGAACTGGTGGTATATGTCTTTAGTCCAAGGACCAGCCTTGCTAAGCTCAGAGAAGCTTATCACCATAAATTTGGCTATTGGGGAGTGAATGTTTTTTAGCCATAGCAATTCATAAAGACAGCCTACAGACTTGTTAAAGGCACTACTATGTATTAATGACGGGAGAACCCCACCAATAAAATCATGAATTGTGCAAGTATTAAAGTCACAGTTAGTAACTCCAGAGAGAGTTAACCCTGGAAACACCAAGAAAGCACCCAAGTTTTATTTCTATATCCTAAAGTCCTGGTTGAGCTGTCAAATTTGTTTGAATTGTACATTCACATTTTCCCAGCTCTTTTAGTCTATTATTTGTCAGTCCCTATATGTAGAACTTTGCTGCTTCACCAAACTATATTCCTCCCTTTGTTGTCTCTGTGTCTTTAATATATGAATATAATTTCACTTGTATGGCAGTAGTATCTTTTGTAGAGGAAAAATCACAACATGTTCTGGAATTGTATAAAATGCAATTGAATTTGCAATACATTGATGAATGTGGCCATTTAGACTGTAGACTTCCTGATTGTTTCTGATAATTTTGTCTTGTTTGTTTGTTTTTTGTTTTTATCATTGCTCTGAAAGCTGAGATCATTTTTGCAAGTGAGAAAATACAGCTTGGATTTGGCATCTTTGATTCTATATGCTTACCAGCTTAGTACAGCCCTTGCCTACCTAGAAAGTAAAAGATTTGTGCATAGGTAAGAGAAACACAAAAAACTCTTAAATTTGTGCATCTTTTGGTGATTGAGTTCTATTTTTAAGTAATACTGAATGATATATTCACTTTTAAATGTAATAACTGTTTAAAGAAAAAAAAGAATTACTGGAAATAAGGTTCATTTTTTTTCCCCTCAAGATTTGTGTCCTCATTTTAATATTCTTCCTGTGACTGTGAAATGCAACTATACTGGATTAGATATTTATTAATTTATTTGGAGCTTCTTTTTTCACATGGAGTGAAAAGCAGTCTCTGTGAATTTTTCATTACTCTGTACAAAGATAAACATAGTAGAGACTTAAATGTAAATTGTCTTGGAACAATGTAAAATAAAATCCACAGTGTTAAGGGTGACATCTGCTGGGATTATGCTGAATTTGTATTCTGGAGCTCTTTATAATATAAATAGAAGTTAATTCCTTTAATATTTAGTTAACAAAGTCATAGATGTTTTTCATTTCCTAATGGAGTTGAAGATTTGTTAGGATGGGGAACCTGAAGAGGGAGGGAGAGGTTGGGTTTAAACCTCAAACCTTGTAGCAGTTCAGCCATTTGAAGTCTATTCAAAAGCTAACTAGTGTGAGAAAGCCTCTTAATTTAAAGGAAAATATTTAGGTTTTTAAATAAAGTCAAATCAGGACCTAGTTACATATTTTTGTCTAATAGCTACTGTAAATGGTAATGTAGAGTCAGGGTTTCTAATAACTGAGCTTTATGTCATGCTTTATTATCTCATTTTATCTTCATAAGAACCTTGTGAGAGAGTTGTGGGGATTATTATTTCCATTTTACAGATGAAGAAACCGAAGTTTAGATAAAGGTGAAGTAATTGACTTATCAAAAATTATATAACTAATGAATGGCAGATCCAGGATGTGGTCCCAGGCCTCATGGCTCCTGGTCAGTGCTTTTCCCACTATACCAGAAAACCTGCTTTCTAGGAAGAAGAAAAATGTTCTCATTATCTGTTAACTATATGAATAGAATTTTTGTCATTCTGCAAGGGGAATTTTAGAAGTCAATTTGTATAAATAATAGTTGTTAAAAGCTTATGCATTATGCTACTGCATTACATATGTTATTTTTTTTTTTGAAAAATGCTTACATTGTCTAATCTATTCTATCATTTATAAATAATGAGAGGCATAAATATCACATATTTAGAGGTGCAAAATAGAAAACGCCTAAGTCTTGGAGTCATAAGATCTGACTTTAAACTTTATTGTTGTTATTTACAACTTGTATGACCTTGGTCAATTCAACTAATCCCTCTGAGCCTCAATTTCCTCATCTGAAAAATGAAGTAAATTACCTCAAAGATTCTCTCTCTCTCACACACACACACACACACACACACACACACACACACACACCTCTAATCCTTTTATGTATCTATTTGTAGATAATTATAGGCCAAATCTTGATTTTCTCTTATGGTACAACTTATCATCACAAATCTTTCTTCTTCAGGGACATTGCTGCTAGAAATGTGCTGGTATCTTCAACTGACTGTGTAAAATTAGGAGACTTTGGTTTGTCTCGATATATGGAAGATAGTACTTACTACAAAGGTAAGAAATGAGAGTATATATGAAATCCAGATATTTTTTATAATTTTGTATATTTGATTTACCTGCCAGTAAACAAAGGGTAAAATATATATATATATGTATATGTGTGTGTGTATATATCTATATCTATATCTATATCTATATCTATATATATAGATATAGACATACTAAGTGTGATGACATCTTTAAAAACAGCTTGACACGTTGTTTTAAATTAATAAGAGCCTTACAGTCACTATAGAAAATGGGAAGAAACCAGAGGAGTTAAAAGTATGTCCTGAGTCTTTCAGAAGTTATTCTCACAACCACTATTATTACTAGTAGAATTAAATTTGTGAATTAGAGATGTGCTACATTACAGCTGTTGATTAATCCGTTCTTTAACCACAACTTGGCTCACTAGCAAGTATTTTTAAAGTTTTAGCCCACAAAATTTTCTCATTATTGAAGTTTCTGTGTTTTTCAAGTTATTCTTGAAATATTATGTCAACATTGAGTTGACTAATTGAAATTTTCCGGACTGTGCATAAGAAAAGTCCCCACAACTCTCAGTTTTGTGCAAAGGCCAGCTTGACTCCCTTGGGATCTTGGAAGTAAACTCAGAGGCCATTGAGTTTATTCTTTCCCTGAACTATGCACTCTCTTTACAACATCCCTGATGACAAGTGATCATCATCCAGTTTCTACTTCAACTCTTCCAGTGCCTAAAAACTGTCTGCCACATCAGGCCAGCTCCATTTTGGATCAAATTTAATTGTTAGGAAGTCACTGCTAATATTGAGCCAAAATCTTTCTCCTTATACATTTCGCCATATGTCATATGTTATGAATAATAATTGAGATACAAATATGAAATGTTTTCAGAAAAAACACATCAGGAAAAAATGTTTCTCTTAACTAGGTCAATGTTTTTAATATGATGATTTTGTATAATAACTGGCGAATAAATTTTCCATTGTTAAGTTATAAATTTTTCCATTAATAAAGTTCTGTTATATAGATGTGGCTTACATTCCACCTAATATAAGAGTAATGTCAGCATCTGCCTCCCAGGGTTATTGTGAGGTAGGTGCTGACATTAACAAATGAGATAATAATTGTAAAGCATTTAGCACAGTGCCTGGCAACACAGTAATTGCTATATAAATGTTAATTACAACTTTTTTCACAGTAACATTAAAATAGTGACCTTCATTTCTAGGTTTGGCTCATGAAATTATTTTCCTTACTTTATAGTTATCCTTTACCATATCCTACTTTACAATTACCATATCTATATTTTATAATAATATATTATAAAGTCAGATATTGTCATATCCTGTGTAAAATGCAAACCTCAAAGACGTCATTATCAGAAGGGGAGAATGGAAAATCAACCCAGGAGGTATGGGATACTGTGAAGAATGAGTATCTGACAATACAACACAAATAATTTCTATGAGGAAAAATAGGAAGACTTTTCTACAGAGGACAATGGGACTGCATATCACCCTAATCCAACTTCAAAAAGATGTGTACAGAAGATAGAAACATAACTAAGAGCAAAAAGCACAAGAGTATTTCACTAGTCCTATAAGAATATTAGTCTCTTAGTCAATAAGCATTTCCTTGGCAGCTATTATGTGCCAGGCACTGTACCAAGCTCTGGGAATGCAAAGAAAGGCAAAAAAAGAGTTCCAGTCTTCATGGTGCTCCAAGTCTAATGGGGGAGATGACATAGAAACAACTGTATAGACTTACACTTCTCACACCTCTAACCTGGTGCCAAGTCTTGCCTTCATATCTCATATCTATCCTTTCAACTCAGTCTGCCCCTACCCTGGCAGGTCCCCATCACCTTACCCCTGGCCTATTATAGTAACCTTCAAATTGATCTCCCTGCTTTGTGTCTCTCCTTGCTCCAATCACTCTTCCTCCACACAGCTTTCAAAGGGGCTTTCCTAAAGTGCCCATCTGACCATGTAATTTGGGGAGGCATCTTTTTGGAGGTGGTTGGATCCACATAGTGGAACAAACTTAACCTTCCTCTTTCAGGCAAGTATGAATCTGTTCATATAACTGTTAAAGTTGGGGGATAATTAAACCATGGACTTTGTCTTTCTCCTTGTTACTTCTAGAGTCAAATAGAAACTTCTCTGTGTGTCTTTTGAAGCCCTTTGCACTGTGGACCCTTACTACCAGTCCAGCCTTCTTACAAATTACTGTTCTCCATGCATTCTACGATCCAACTATAGTCCCTACTTTTTGTTTCTCACAAATGGCATAACACATTCATATCAGTGACATTAGCACCGACTGTTCCCCTTGCCTGAAATGCTCCCCTTCCTAATCTCCAAATGTCTTAGCATTCCTGACTTCCCTGAAGACTTAGCTCATGTGCTGTCTTCTACAGGACACCTTTTTTGGTCCCACCAGCTGTTACTCCCTTGTACATATCTATTTTTATACATGTTGTCTCCCCCATTAGAATGTAAGATTCTTTAGGACTGGGACGGTTTTTCCTTTTTTCTTGGTATTCTCAGAGTTTCACATCATCACCGATGTCTGCTAAGCACTTCATAAATGTTTGTTGTTCTGTTGATTGGTTGATGAGAATAGAGATGATATTCCTTCCACATCACTTCTTCCTATCCAGGCATAGGTAAAAGTATATAATCAACAAAGGTGACTCAGTTCAGATACCCTGAGCCAATAATTTAAGCTATATTAAGTAGTGTTAAAGTCTGATGTGTTAAATCACCCGGTCAGTTGCTGGTACCGTGCCCCATCTCTCCATTTTTTGCCTCTTTTCCCCCAGGGGACTGAAACATATGCTATCACTTCCTTACTTAGACTTCTCTTTCAGAATGCTCTTCATATATACAGAGAAGTGTGAGGGACTGCTAGATAAACTTGGGGCTTCAAGGCAATTAAATATATGGTTCCATTATCTTGAGAGGAGCCAAGAGCCAAATGATATAGTGGGTTTTTTTTTATGTTTTTATTGACAGTAATTACATCTAGAGAAGAGCTGCTTAAACTGAATGACTGTATTTTCACTATCATTGGTTTCATTCATAAATCTATACATTTTGTTTTATGCTTTGAAAAACATTATTCTGAGAAGGGATCCATCAGACTGCCAGAGGGGGTCAATAGCACAAAAAAAAAAAAGGTTAAGAATGCGTGGTATAGAGAAAATTTTAATGTTCTCAAGCATGCAAAACAGGAAGTTGTTTTTTTTTTTAAAAAAGTCTCTTTCTTGTAGCTTCCAAAGGAAAATTACCTATTAAATGGATGGCTCCAGAGTCAATCAACTTTAGACGTTTTACCTCAGCTAGTGATGTATGGATGTTTGGTAAGTGTTTGTTTACCATCGACCTTTTTAAATGTACGCATGTCCTAAGAGCCAACTATTACTAGTTTTAGTCTGTGCTCATTGAGTTATTCCTAGTTCCTTGATTTTTGATATGCCGGAAACAGAGCTCTTTTATTAGCTTTTTTATCCCATATATTCTCGAATCTGTTGTTTTAGACAGTTTTACATATTCCTAGAAGTACAAGTTGATTTCTAAGTTGTGTGGATTTTATTTTATTTTTCTTCTTTTTCCTGACAGCTGGTATTTGCGTAATCACTGATTGCTTTTAATAATAATAAGATTAGAGGTAAAAAAGTGTTTTTAAATAAGATATCCAGTGAATAAGGCATTCATTTTTACTAAAACCCTTTATTTGGAAATTTGACTAGCAGGTCATAATTGGATTTGGGAATCTGTAATTATAACATTTTACTCTGCTTCACTAAAAAATATTCAGGCATATGTCACCTAAGATAATAACTAATAATGGCTAGCATTTTATTGCACTTTGAGGTTTGCAAAAGACTTTACAAATCTGATCACATTTGATCTTCACAACAACCCTGAGAGGTAGGAGTTATATTTATCCTCGTTTTACAGATGAGGAAGCTGAGGCAGACAGAGGTTAAATGACTTTTCCAGGGTCACACCACCAGTGTCTGAAGCAAGATTCAAATTCAGGCCTTCCTGCCTTTGAGTCCTATGATCTGTCCACCCAGTTGCTCTTAAAATGTCTCAGAAAAAGTAACATTATGGGAGCAGTTATGAACATAAGTATATAATGATCATTTGCATCTCAAGTCATCATCTAAATAACAGGGTTTGATTATAATATGTTAAACTGCATTCTTGGGGGAAACTATGTGTAGAATATCTACATTTAACTTGTTTTGCCATGCCATCCTCCATACCTGCTTCAGTCATTGGTGTATAGTCCATCCTTTTTAGGATCAAATTCATTCTTCAGAGATTTTGTTTACTTGATTTAAGTAGAAATACAAGGGAATAAAATTATACCTTGGAGGAAGGGAAGTATTAGGGACATGGAGGAAAATATAAAGTTAATTTTAATAACTTTAAATGTAAATAGATTAAATAATCTTCCCCACCACCACCATCTTTTGCTTACAAGAAACATTTTTTAAAAACAAAGACACGTGTGGAATGAAAATGAAGGAAGGCCTGGGAAAAAAATCACTATACCTCAAGTGAATCCAAAAAAGCAGAAGTTGCAATCATGCTATGAGACAAAGCAAAAATAAATACTCAAAAATAAAAGTGGATGAACAAAGAAACAGTATTATCCTGAAAGGAACCATCCTATCTGAGCATATGATAAAACCCACTCCAACAACTCCATTCTTTTTTCGGTTCAAAAAATACCTGGAAGCTTTCATTTCATTTTGCTGCAACTTGCTTCTTCTTGTTTCATTTCTAGCAAGAATGTCAAGATCAGTATGATTCAGCTCTTCCAGCATTGTTTCCATGTGCTGGTGATTGGAAAAGGATTTCATATGTAGAGTATTAACTTCAACCTGCATTCAGTCAAAAGGCTTAAAAGCCCTGTGATTCTTAACGTCTGCCCACTTACCTTCTACTTCACCCCCGTCTCTGACAAAGCAGAAGGAGGCTACTGCGCTGAAGGCCTTTAAAAAAAAAAATGCTTCCTTGTTTCTTTGGTTGGCTGTGGCCAAAAAATTTTCATCTCCAGGTGGCCAGCCTACTAGTGAGGCCCCTCTTTATCATTAGCTAGGTTAGTTCTCAGAAACAATCAATCTGTTACTGGGGCCATACTGGAAACCTTTCCAGCAGAAAACCCACTCCAGCTTGTACTCTGCTGATATAGCCTTTGAGAACCCAATGAGGCATTGGAGTAAGACTTTATGAAAGATTATATGCTTGGCATATGTCGAATGCTTAATAAATGCTTATTCATTGATTGATGTGTCCTCTTGATTCTTATCCTCTTCAGTCTAAATATCCTCATTTAAGCTATCCTCATCGCCTTTCTTGGAGGCTCTCTCAACTAAGCAATTTCCTTCCTAAATTGTGACACCCAAAATTGAACACATTTCTTCAGATACATAAGATTCTTTAGGGTAAAATACAAGATTATGACCACCCTTGTCATAAGCACTATGCCTCTCAATATAGCCTGAGATTACATTAGCTTTTTCAGCTGCCATAACGGACAGTTAAATGCATAGTGGGTAATGCTGGACTTGGAAGTCTGAAAGACCAGAATTGTAATCCTGCTTCAGACATTTATAATGGTTGTATGACCCAGGACAAGTCATTAACCTCCTCTCCTTCAGTTTCCGCATCTGTACTATGAGAAGAAGAATACTAGCATCCACCTCACAGTCATTTTGAGGATCAAATGAGATCATATATGTAAATCACTTTGCAAACCTTAAAGTTCCATATAAATATTTGCTATCATCATTATATCATTGTGTTAACTTATATTAAACTTGTCATCCACTAATCTTTTTCAGGGAAACATGTAGATGCAAGCTTCTTTCATCTCATACTTGTGAAGATAGTTTGTCATATTTGTCCCAGTTCAATTTCCAAATAAAATAAGCATTACCATATGTGAAGTAGAATAAAGATTATCAATGCAATTGAGAATATCTTATGTACAGCTAGCTTTTCTTTTTAAGTATTATAATAAATTCCATATGTAATTTTCAAAGCTGACCTGCCTGTTTTCTTCTGCCCTTCCATCTCTTCTCTTCTGTACATTTTTAAAACCTTGTAACACATAAGCATAATTAAGCAAAACAAAGGGCAGAGGGGGTGAGTCAAGGGGGAAGAAGTCTAGAGACTTAGGAGGAGAATACGAAAGGAGTGAAAGAATGGCCATGTTTCTCTGAGCTCACCTTCAGAATGGAGGCTCCAGGAGGAGCTCACCTAAGACTTCTGAGGCTCTAGGGGCAGAGGCATCTTCTAGAGTGAAAAGGCTAGAATCAGGTGTGAAATCAGCAAAGGAAGGAAGAAGTAAGAGAAGTTTTATGTAGTTACTGTGAAGAATAAGCAGGACTGCATGGAAAAATTATAAGAAAGGTTATCTACAATTATGAACCATAAATTTTTAGTTAGTGAAAGCACTTCAGTCCCTGTGTCACATTCATTAGATGTAATAGAATTTATATTTTGTAATTACAAAAAAGCTGAATAGCACCAATAATTAAGCTATTTACTGAAGACCATGTGACAAATTATTGGAAAAGACAGTCTTAAACAGAAATTCCCTTACCTCTAATCTTGATGTAAAGCCTTAGTAAATAGTACTATACTTTTCCCTAAAGATCATTTCTCACCTAATAGATCATTTAACTATTTTAAGTCGATCTATCTCTCAATCAAAACTAAGGTTTCAGCCTATCATCACACATAACAAGACATTTGTTATTGTTCTGTCATTTTTCAGTCATGTCTGTTCTTCTTGACCCCATTTGGGGTTTTCTTGGCAAAGATACTGGAGTGGTTTGCCATTTGTTCAGCTCATTTGATAGATGAGGAAACTGATGCAAACAGGGTTAAGTGACTTGCCTAAGATCACATAGCTAGTAAGTCTCTGTGGCCATATTTGAATTCAGAAAGATGAGTCTTCCTGACTGCAGGCATGGAACTTTATTCACAGTGTCACCTACCTTCTGAAAAAAACTTAATTATCTTTTGATTTTATCATAAATGCTGTCATTACCGTCTCATCTAAAGTCCCAGGAATTATGTTATTTTCATGTCTCTGATAAATGTAAGATCAGATGATACAGTGGAAAGAGAATTATCACTCTGCTACTTACTGTTTGTGTGATTTTTACTTCTTTAAAGTTGAATTTCATCTTTATCAACTGGAAGGAGCTGAACTGGACGATCTCTAGGTTTCTTCCAACTCTAATATCCTGTGAAATGGCTTCTTATTTAGTCAAGAGACTGAAAAAGACTTAAAATGCAGGATTTATCAAAGCAGTCATGTAGTAAGAGATCATAAATGTTTGTTTAATTGAATTAAAATGTCAGAGGAGTAGATTCCAAGGCCAACCAATCAGTGGATCTGTGGCTTATCTTCTATATGTGTCAAAGATGATAATTAAAGTCTCATTGCAAGTCATATTCAGAAACAATGGCATCAAACTTTGTTATAGGAAAGCCGTTAACATTCCTTCCTGAAATACATCCATTGTTCTTCAGAGATTTCCTAAACTAATATAGAGTTATTCTAATACAGCATCAGGTTATATTGCATTTTCTATGTTCTTTAAAACAATATTTTCATCCATTCCTTGACTTTTCTCCAAGAATTCACACATCATGAAATGATGCTAAATATAATCAAGCATGATAGATTTTTAACTGAAAGGGAATTTTGAGGCCACCTAGTCTATCCTTCTCATGTTACATATGAGGCTCTGAGAGGAGGTGACTTGGTGATGGTTGCTTTAGGTCAAACTTTGAAATAGAGCTTATTGGAAAATTTGATGATGTATACATTAATTGTATTGATCATTCATATATCCTCAAATTTTCTAATGAGCTCTGTTTCAAAGTTTGACCTCATGCAATAAGTTCCTTCCAGTCCACTTTAAGTCAAGTCAGTGGTTTTTATTTACAGTTATTGTAAAGTATGCTGGATGTGGAGTAAGACAACCTGGGTTCAAATCCTGGCCCTGTTATTTACTACCTGTGATCTTCATCAAGACCAACCCCCTCAGTTTACAAAAAAAGGAACCTCAGTTCTAGAGAGGAACAATAACTTGTACAATATCACAAAAGGTAGTAGCATAACCAGGATTCAATTCAAATTCAAGTTTTCTGATCCCTAATACAGTAAACCATGCTACTTCTTCAAGGCATCGCCCAAAAACTCTAGGGGAAAGTCCACAGAAATAAGAATGTAGCACTATAAACTCCAAGCATGGTTATTTGGATCTTTGAAAAATAATTGATAAATGTAGGGAAAGGCTATGATGTTTTCTTTTGATGTCCACATTTAATAGTACAGGATATGGGATGCATGTCTGGGGCAGGGTGGGTGTGTATGTGTGTCTTCCCTCATTATAGCACATTTCTTTAAACATAGGTACATGATCTCATTTGTATTACAGTTGGTCTCTTCCCTACTACATTATCAACTCTGAGACCTGGAATTGAGTCTTACTCATCTTTGTGTCCCACTTTGCCTAGCATAGCATCTTACACGTGGGTACTTAACTAAAGATTATGGCTGCTGATTGTTAAATGCCATCTATTTGCCCATTAATCTATAGTCTTAAGAGATCATTTTAAATGCAGCTTTATAATTTGAGATTGGGGAAAAGACAATACATCTTATTGACAATTTGTTTCTTCCTTTATTCACCAAATGCTATTTTTTTAATTCTAGGGAATGTGTTGCTATACTGTGCATTATATATTTTAAACATTTTTAATAGTGTTTTTAGTTTACTGGGAATTAAAATTGATTTGTTTCATTCACTTTTTATTCTCCTGCTTCACAGGTGTATGCATGTGGGAAATTTTGATGCATGGTGTAAAGCCTTTCCAAGGAGTGAAGAACAATGATGTAATTGGTCGAATTGAAAATGGTGAACGGTTACCAATGCCTCCAAATTGTCCTCCGACCCTCTACAGCCTTATGACAAAATGCTGGGCATATGATCCCAGCAGACGACCCAGGTTTACTGAACTCAAAGCACAGCTCAGGTAGGGTGTATATCATTTTAAAAATTACATTTCATTTTTTAAAATCAGCAAAAATACATCTCTTACCCTCCTACCCATCCACCGAAATTGAGAATGAAAGAAAAACAAAATTACTGAATACAAAAATGTATAGTCAAAACAAATTTTTGCATAGACCATGTCTAAAAAATATGTATCCCATCCTTTATACTTTCACCTCTCTATCAGGAGGTGGGTAGCATGTTTCATCATTAGTCCTCTGGAATCGTGGTTGATTTACACTGATAAGAGCTCCTCATTCTTTCAAAAGTTGTTTGTCTTTACCATATCTCTGCCACTGTAAAAGTTGTTCTCTTGATTCCATTCACTTCATATAAGTCTTTCCAGTTTTCTCTGAAGCCATCTCCATCGTTTCTTATAGTACAATAGTATTCCATCACGCTTACATGTCATAAGGTCTTTGGGTATTCCCCAATTTATAGGGAATTCTTTGCTCTTCTTTGCCAAATATTTTTACACATCCTTCATTTGTTTTGCCCAAATTTGATCCCTCCCTTAATCTACCTCCCACTAATTCTCCCTTCTCCCATTCTCAGAACTGATAGATTTTTGTCCTCAACTCTATGTATGTATATTCTTCCTTCCTTTAACCAGTTCAAGTGTTAGCTGCTCCCCCTGCCTCTCTCCTCTTTATTTAAATATCTATTTGCACATCCTGATTATGTGGAATAATTGTCCCTGACTTTTCCTGTCCCTTCTTCCCATTCCTCAGTGCATTCTTCCTCTCTCTTTCCATTCTTCTCTTAAGATGAGGGGAAACCTCACAGAAGGGATTAAGGATTTTTGATTTCAGACTTGATGTTAAGACTAGGCTTTTTGCATGGAAGGTCTAGACTGGTCCTGTTGCTTCTTTCTTAGGGGTATTGAGACCATGTTGTAGCAGAATCTAAGGGACAGCTCAGGCCGGGGACCTGTAACCTTTCAGTGCTCCCACAGTGATCTGATCCAAGGTAAAGTCTGATTGCTGTTTCCCACATCTGAGCTTTGAAAGTTCTTGACCTAGGTTTGGGTCTGCACGACAGCAAATTGTTGTTCAGCTGTACTAGGAAGCTCTGCTGATTCAGGGATACAGAACTTCAAGTTCACTTTGACTGCTGACCTGGTTATTCTTCTGCAAACTTCAAAGCCCTACTGATGGTGCTGCTTACTTCTGAACCTGCTACTTTCTTCAATATCACTCAGGGCAGAACAGTACTCCCAGACACAGTTTCCCTCATCAGTCCAGCCTGGATCTACAATCCAGAACCAGGTTGTAGGTGTTAAAGCTGCCAGTTAGCACCTCTGCTCACCAAGGTACCCCATTATAGGTCTAGGAGGGTACCCTGGTTTGGGTCTGAAACCTCCTCTGGCTCTTAGGTGTAACCTCTCCCTGCATTGCCACAACTCCTGGCCAGACCCCATTCCCACTGTCCACAGACTTCTCCATCTGTCTCTTTATGCCAGTCTAATTGTGACTTTGTCTTGAATTTCCCATCAGGATTTGATCTGGTACATTTTCTAGATATGGAAGAGTTTTGGTGGGAAGTATGTTGTATTTTGTTTTTTATTTATTTTGCTAAACATTTCCCAATTATATTTTAATCTGTTTCGGGCTACACTTAGGAGTTTTGTGCACCACAGCAGCTACTTTGATGTTTCAAGTCTAAGGTACTTTTTTGCACAAAGGGTTACAAATATTTAATTTTTAAATTGGAGGTCCATCAGTTTGGATCATAGAATCGTGATTCCCTAGTACCTGTAGAATGTGTGCTATGTAGAATTGAAACTTTGCTAAGTCTTTGATTCTCTGGATATACATATTCTCTTCACCAATACACATCCCAACCTCTACATGGTTTCTCATCTCCTATAATAGGTATACATGTTTTCCCATAAATCTTCCACATATACTCTAGCCAATATGCTAGAGACCTTTCTCTTTTTTTTCTTTTAATGTTTTATGGTACTGATGTACCACACATACACTTAAATGGATCTGAAGTTTCCTTGATCTAAATACTCCCCCCAGTGGTACAGATCTCATCCTTTCTATACTTTCTCATTCTTCATGACTTATCTGTTTTCCTGTTAAAATCTCCACACAGGGTATCCCCACAGTGATGAGGCCTTCTTAATCTTTTAATATTATGTTAGTGTGAATGCCTCATACTGACTGTTCATCAATTAATCCTTCCTCTTGCTTTATGAACAGATTACCTCCTTTCTTCAGCTATACATACATACATTTCTTTGATGGTATCTTTTGCATTACTCCATGCATCCATTTCATCCTTTCTAATATGATGCAACCTATTTACACCCACCATATGTCTCTCCATTTTCCTTTGATTCTTCAGAGATTGTAATAGCATATGATTTACCACCATTTAGAATCACCAGAAAAATACTACTGTTAAAAAAAAAACAGTCCTTTAATTACTGGAGAAACTTGGAATAATTGAACTCGTATGTTTCTATTTACAATCCAGCATGCTTTCATGTGGAATGTACCTCAAGGGCCATCAATCCTATTCAGTTTGGAGGCAGTTTATTGTCATACATACATAAATATATACATGCATATTTATGTATTCCTATTTTCTCCAAAGTCAGTAATGATATCTTTACTACTAAATACAATGGCCTTCTTTATTGACCATACCCTCCTTGAAGAAATCCACTCCTCCCTGAATTTTCATGACATTGCTTCTATTCCTACTTATTGGAGGTTAATACTTCTTTCTCTCCTTTGGTGGATAATAAGCCATATCTTACCCACTGTGCAGTTATACCCCCAACTCTGTCATAGACCCCACCAGTGGTCACATCAGCTCCCCGGGTTCTGTTATCTCTTTGTACATGATTCCCAATCTACTCCCCTAACACCTCATTCCTCATGAGCTTCACTTCCTTATCTCCATTTACCTTTTGATAAATCTCCTCCTGAATGTCTCATGCACATCTCAAGCTCAACATGTCCAAAAATAGGCTCATTATTATTTCCCCTACATCTTCCCCTCTTCTTCACTGTCTTATTTCTATTAAAGTCACTGCCCTTCTGCTGGTCACCCATATTTGAAAGCAAGAGTTATCCTCAACTCTTCACTTTCCCTTACCACCTACATATACTATCAGTTGTAAAGTCTTGTTGATTCTGTATCTGAAACATGTTATGTCCATCTAAGATTTAAAAAAAATGTACTGTAATGAAGATTATAAAAAAATCTGCAGTGATGAAAGTTATTTATGATCAGGTTCCCACATTTCTTTCTGGGATGATTAAGTATTTTCCCCCCTCATTTACTCTACATTCCAGCCATATTAGCCTGTTTGCTGACCCCTGTAGATGGCATTCTATTTGTTCTCTATGTGCCTTCCTATGCTTTCCCTCCTCACTTCTACCTCTTAGAACCTGTATCTCCCTTGAGGTCTCATTTTAAGGACTACTTAATACATGAAGTCTTTTCTAATTCCCCTGGTTGTTAGTGCCTCAAAAAAAATTGCATTACATTTATTTTGTATTTACCTATTTGTATGCATATTGTATCTCCCAGGAGAGTATAAGCTCCTTGAAGACAGGGGTGGTTTCATTTTTTGTCTTGGTATCTCCATTTCCTACCATAGCACCTTGTACATAGAGAGTGCTTAATAAATGCTTGTTGAATTGAGTTGAATCATTAAACTGAGTTCTTCAGAACACTTATAGAGATAATAGAATTTGTTTAGGAGCCATAATGATGTTTCTGAACTTGATGAAATTAGCACAGTGCTATCTGCAAATATCTGAAGGACTTTACCCTTGAATAGGATATAAGTACTCCATTGGGGTTCTATAGGACATTGACATCTTTCCTTCCTTAGTTCTGAATCATATTTTCCAACTTTTTTTGCTGCCCTTTCCTTATGCCCACATTTACATTAAAGTTACCAAATATAAGAGTTTTTTGTAATTTATTTCAACATCTTTATTGAATTTTTTATATTCTCTCTTCTCCAACTTTCTCAACAGATGTTGATAAATTGCAGCTTTCATATGTTCCTGATAAATTGCAGCTTTCATATGTTCCTATTGCTTTTGTGCATAAGCCCTACAATGTAATATGGCAAAGTAACCCATGATATATCGTACCACATTCCTGTAAGTTTCCAATAAAACCAATACCACTCAGAGTTTGTGGTCTCTCGTAGAAGAGCTTGTGAGCACTCAGCCCTTTCATTTAGCCACAACTTTCTTATGACTTCTGATTTCAATTTCCAAGCCATATAGTCAGTTTTACTATGATGAAATTCTTCCAGCAGTATATTAGCACGACCATTATTAAGCAGGGGTTTCACTCTTCAAGTTTTAGTAGAATGGTGTTTACAGGTTATCTCAATATTGTGGTTTTTAGTACGCTAGGGAAATAGGAGAGGATTGGCCAACACTGAGAGCCTTTAAATTTTTTTTCTTTTTTTCATGAGTTTTCATGGCCCCCATTTTCCACTAGTAGGTTCATGTTCTCAGTGTTTTGAACTTGTGGAAAACTCTTCCAGAAATCATTTGATAGCATTGCTTTTGAGAAGTCATGATTATCTCACAGATTTACAGATTCACAGAATTTTAGAGTTGGAGTGTACCACAAGGGCCATCAAAATCAAGCCGTTACCTAAAGAAGTTTCTCTATTGTCTCTTAACAAGTGCTCATCCAGTCCTTGTTTGTAGACTTACGGTATGGAGGAACCCACTACCTCTAAGGCAGTTCATTCTACTTTTGGATAGCTCTAATTGTTAGGCACTTTTCCTTTATATCAAGCCTGAACTGATCTCTTTAAAATTTTTACCTGTTACTCCTGTTTTAGCCTTATTTGCTTGAACAAATCTAATCCTTCTTCCTCAAGACAGTCTGTTAAATACTTGAAGGCAGCTATCATTCCCAAGTCTTCTCTTCTCCAGATTTAAATATCCTCAATTCCTTAAAACCATTTTTATATTTCATATTCTT